ACACACAGACACACTCACACTCACTCACACAGACAGGTAAAATCAAGAATGTGTAACATTGCAACTCCAGGCAGCATCCGTCAATGCCCCTGGCACTGGCAAAGGAGTAACTCTAAATTTCTACAATTAAAAAACAAAACAAATCCAGGAATATGTCCATGATAGCTAGCTGGATAGCTTGGCTCTCAACGTAGAGAAAATGTTCCAAAGAAGCCTACTGGATACCTGAGAGGTAGTTCCCCGGTGACAAGACGCTTGTCCCAAATCTTCAAAAAGTCCAAAATGTCCAATACAACTGCTCAGCTCCCAATTTCCGCTCCTCCCTTGTGATTAAAACAGGTGTGCTCCGATTTGTTTTGATCTTTTTTTGTTCCATTCAGAGGCATTCACAGGTTTAAAATAAGGGAGCACACTCGAGTTTAAAAATCGAGAAGCTTCGACCCCTGAGGAAGATGAATATATTTTGTCTAACAGTCTCAAAACGGTTCCTCCGAGGTGTGCAGCACGTCGTCCGAGGTTTGGAGCAAAGGTTCATTTCATTTGGCCGCAGACGATCATGACCAAGACAGGAAAACGACAAAGATAACAACTTATGAGGTAATAAAAATAGACTAACACAAAAGAAATACATGAGGTAATGACAACATTTAAGATTTGACACATGGGTGTTATCAGATGTGCCCAACACATAACTTATTACTACAGCAGATGGATGTGTTAGTAGGATTTGACTTTAAACACCAAAAACATTAAAACAGAAAAAAAAAAATACCAGTATTGGGATAAAATAGCAGCTGCATTCACTTTGCTAGTTGTTGTTTTTTTTTTATGCTTTTAAATATTCACGGAGATCCGCTGAGTTTGGATTTGAAAAATAAAAAGTCAGGAGCTCGGGTGAAGGATGGGTTCACCAGTTCAGGTGCTGGACTCTTTGGGAGGTAGGTCCTCGTTGGTGAGAGACGTCACAATGGAGACGGGGCTGTCTGAGGTAGTGCTGCTGATCGTCCTGGCGATCTGGCCGATGCGCTCCTCGACGCAGCCGGCGGACAATCGCGCCTCTGCGTCGTGGTCCCAGCATTCTTCGATGGTCTCGCACATCTGGCTCAGACCCTGTAGCCACAAACGGGAAGTTAGTACGTATGTAGGGCAGTTCTTTTTGTAGACTTCTGAACCCAAACATTAAATAAAAATCTGTTACATGTGACAAAATAACCCCCTAACTTTTTCTTGGGCCTAAAAGGTGAAGCAGCAACTGCCCCGTAAGTTTCAGAAACAACAAAACATAACTGATTCAGAGAACTATGACCTTGGGTGATTAAGCTGCATTCACTGGAAAAAAGGATGCATGACATCCTGGTATTGCTGTTGAAAAAGTGCGAGCTGTTCTTCCACTATTACTCACAGGATGTTTGAGCCAGCAGTCCTTGATGACTGGACGCATCTTCTTGTGCACGACCACATCCTGCAGATCCTCCAGGGAGGGATGTTGGCCTATTTCTTCCTCAAACGGCAGCATGAACTCCCCAACTGTACCTTAAGAGAAGCGGTAAGGGCACAGGACAGAAAGCAACAGAGATCAAGTCAAGTAAATACTGCAGTGTTTGGATTTTGAAAACCCAAAACTTGCGCTCTATTTAAAGACTAACTTCCCACACTATGCTTTAAACTTGCGTCAGATGGCTTTCCCCAGACTAAACGGAAACTAGTCCTTTGTTTATGAGGTCAGCCTGAAGCAAAGTGACCTTTCACCTGTTGGCGAAGCAGCATTCCTACACTGTTTGACTCACCGTCGGTTACTGTGCAGCGGGACACCAGCTCCCACAGCACCA